ATTTTTTTTTTTTTTTTTTTTTTTATATATATAAATGTATAAATATATTTTTAGGTTTCTCTGTGGCAAGGAGATCAAGAAGAGGAAATATATTTTCCGACTAAGGACAAGGGTCCCTCCTAACCCCCCATCTAAGTTGTTTCCGGAGAAGGCCCAGAACAGTGAGGGCCACGGGGGCCACAAGAAAGGGGCCAGCAGAAGCAGGTTTGAGCATTTCTGAGCGCCTTATTACTGCCTCCCATTTTTATGACCAATATCTTTTGTTGATGTAACATGGAATCATTAAAGTGAATTATCATGAGACTGATCCCAGTTAAATATTTTATTTGGTTTACAATGCTATTTGTTTATTTATCCAGTCAGTTGATCATAACTGAGATCTTTATTTTTTACTTGATGCTTCAAAGGGAATTTGGAAACTTTTGAGAAATTAGACTTTGGCAGTGAATGCACTGAAAGACACATGCAGGGCTTAAGTTCTCTGGCGTGCAGCGTTTGGCTGCGGAAAAAAATAGTTCTACATTTAAAAAAAAAATCTTGTTGATTGATATCACTTTCGAGTCCATGAGTTTGCCTACCAATGGTATGAGAGGAGCACAGCTTTCACTCCCAACCAAACTAACATTACTAACCAATCAGAATGTTTTGCTCTTATAAACATGAGACGCGCATAATAGTATCCAATTGCGGAGTCGCAGCCCTGATGAATGGAGAAGTGTGACAAAACGCTGCGAGGCGCAATGGTCAAATATGTCCATCTAGCGTATATTTACATAGAAAAACAAATTAAAAACAGCGGAGCTTTGTAAACAGCTCAGAGTAATCATGTCATCTCCATAAAACGATATGATTGCCAGATCAAATTTACCGGGATTTTTGAAAAGGTCCTGTTCACACATGATCTATTAATGGTAACTTACCGGTAATTTACCAGTACTGTGTGTGTGTGAAAGGGGCTAAACTCTTCCTCTGCATATGTCATGAATTTGAATTGCTTAGCGTTCATCTGGAAAAACAGTGCATTATCTCACTAGATTTGTAACGTAAATCATTTATAAACCTTTGCCAACACAAGAGAATACATCAACCTATGTCTAAATATACCATGTATTTTTACATCGCGATTTCAAAATAAAAGTTACTGCATGTGGCCAAATATTAAAATTAATTTAATTTTTTAATCACGCTGTAAAGTGAAACGTCACCATGCCATTGGTGCCCTCTGCAGGTATTTGTTTTAATACATAATGTACTTAAAGGCACAATATGTATTTTTTTTTTTTAATTAAAATATCCAAAAACCACTAGAACAGCGTTATACATTTTGCTGACTTGTGTACTTGCATTATCCCAAATGTTTCGAAGAATGTTTAAAACCAGAGAAATAAGCAATTTTAACTAGTGACACGGAGCGTGTCCATAGTGTCGTTGTGTCGCCTGCCAATGACGTCATACCCCCTCGATTTCCGGTTTTGTTTTGTAGAAAACATGGAAACACCAAAGACGCTTTAATATGTTGTGTACTTTATTAGACCGGTGACGACTGCACAGAGTAGCATTATAACAGAACTTTCAAAT